AATGGGACAGCTCTTTCGGTCTTAAGCAGATGTCAGAGGTAAAAATTGGTACTTTCAATATGTTCTTCTTCTCCGAAGAGCTTTTCTCCGCAGTGGCTGAAAATGTGATTGAATCAGGAGTGAAATTGAGAGTTCGTTGAAAGTTAGGAACTTTAGTGATGAAGACAATATAATGTAGCACATACCATTTAACAAATTCGATACTTGATCTGATAATGGCACTTTCTCAAGATCTACACATTTGAAAAAAATCAAAACTTTATCCTCAAGATCACAAATTGTTGAAATTTTGTCCAATCCCAAAATCCCAATTACGGAAATGGGTCGAATCGGCGAAGGATTTAATAAATCTAACCTTGTGCGGTTCCAGGAGAGGAGTTTTCGGATCTTAGGAGCTCTTTGACGGCTTGGGAAGTTCCGGCGATGTCGACAGCAATTGAAGATTCGCCGGAGTTTATGAGCCTGGACTTGAAGACTGAGCTTAATAAGCTTTTGTTAGCCTTTGCCATGTTCGCAATTTCAAGTGAGACTGAGCGAGGAAGAAGAAGAAGAAGATGAGAGGATCTGTAAGATTTTTGTATAAACCTCGACAAAACCCAGTAGGGGGTGTTCATGTAATTCGGTATATAAATTAGGGGTAATCAAGTGAATTAACAAATATATGGACTTTTTAGACATTCAAAAGATTATAAATGATCAAAAGGGATCAAAATCAAAGTGAAGAAAACTGAAAAAATCTCTCTGTCTTGCGCAACTTCATCTTCTACCATCAATGAGATCGCTGCATTCGATTTTGTTTTCCCTCCTTACCCTTCTTAGCTTCTACGGTGGTTGTATCGTGGCCACGGCGGCTACGGGATCGGTGCAGAAAGGAGAGGAGGAGTGGCGTGCGGTTCTTTCTCCAGAGCAGTTTCGTGTTCTCCGGCAGAAAGGCACTGAGTAAGCTTTCATGCCTTCTTCTTCCATTTCTCCGGCGGTTTATTGTTCAATTTTGAGCAAATTTGCTTAAAAGTTAGGAAATTTGGGAATTCGGAGAACATCTTCCTTCAACCAGGATAGTGACTAGTGATTGCATCGCTTCTTGGGTTTGTGTGAAAATCTCTCCAAAAAGGAAAGCATAAAACTTTGTTTTTGCAATTGTTGAGCATTTCATTTTCTGATTTTAGGTCCACTCCATGGATTATTGTGGCTGAATTGAGTTTCAAACTTGAATTAGTATACAACGATGCATTGTTTTAAGATTGTAGACTCCTCCTGATGAGCAATATGTTGAAGATTATCTCTTATACAGGTGCTTGAACCAATAGAACACTGAGAAAATTTCTTCAATTTTCATGTAAAGGTTATACAGTTCTTCAATTTATATACCATATTTCATTACTTAAAAAAGGTCTGCTTTGTCTTGATGTTTAGATGTTTCTGGTAATTGAATATCATACTGAGTAATAAGAGAATTCAGCTCTAAGACTATTAGAAAGATAAAAGAAATCCATGTTTTCTATTCTGATTGAGGAACTGATGTGTATATAATCTTTGCGTGTTTGCGTTTGGTTACTTTTACAGATATCCAGGGACAGGAGAATATGTAGACTTTGACAAAGAAGGAATATACGTTTGTGGAGGATGCAAAGCTCCTCTGTATAAATCAACCACAAAGTTCAACGCCGGTTGTGGCTGGCCAGCTTTCTTTGATGGAATCCCCGGTGACATAACTCGAACCGTAAAAAAACTCTCTCAAACTCTTTTCACTTTTCATAAAATTCGATGATCAGTTTCTGTTTTGTTAACAACTCTCTCTATTTACATGATGTTATTCAGGTAGATCCAGACGGGAGAAGAATAGAGATCAGCTGTGCAACATGTGGTGGACATCTTGGTCATGTTTTCAAAGGTGAAGGTTTCGACACTCCAACCGATGAACGACATTGCGTCAACAAGCGTTTCCCTTAACTTCACTCCCGCAAAGGACGAAATGTAAATTTTTTATTATTATCTTTTCTTGTTTGTAAAATCTTGGCAAACAACATAGTTAATACGAATGGTGGTTATGTACTTATGTGTCCAAGTTTAGACAGAAACTAGGATACTGCCATTACATGGTCCGAAAAGCTAGTTCAGTCATTTTTGGATTGGAATGGATTCGGTCCAGTCACGGATCTGGATCCAAAATCTTGAAATTTGATAAGATTATCTTGTCTGTCACCAACCGGATAATTGACAATATCTATCACGTGCATGATTTCATTAACTTAATCATACAAACGGGTCACAGGAATCTAGACGCCCAATTAGGAAAAATACATCACAGAAAAAAAAAAGTATTAAGTAACACTGCAGCGTTTTAAGAACTTGATCATCATCACCAAACGATTTCTTTTCCCTGATCTCGTTGCAAATTCAGCTTCCAACGCCTTTAGATTCCGTGGTGGTCAAGTCATGGCGGATCCTGGATTGTTGGTACAAAAAACAGAGGAGGAATGGCGTGTGATTCTTTCTCCTGAGCAGTTTAGGATTCTCCGTCAAAAAGGCACCGAGTAAGGCTTTCTTCCTTCTTCTTCTTTTTTTCCTCTTGATTTGTTTTAGGGCATCATTTGAGATCTTGTTTAGAGAATTTCAAATGAAAATATGAATGCCTTTTTCTTGCAATTGTTGAACATTTCTTTATTGACATCATTTCTAATGTCACCTCATATTGATATTTGAGAGACTGGATTCAGAAAATGTTTGATCGTTGAAAAATTAAGCATATTATTACCTTTTAAGAGAAAAAGCTTAGGTTCCAAGCAACCATGTAAAAGTTCCTAAGTTGCCTAGAATTTTATGGGACTTTCTCAATCTGTCCGTCTGGTGAAAAGAGAATTAGTTTGTAGATACTAAGAGATGATGAAAATGCTTTTGGGTTACTAGAAGATGTTGCTGAGGCATCTGTTTTTGAGAGATCTCCACTGATTTCTCTAGTACGTCACACCATTGTCTTATATCATGAACTGGAAAATGCCACAATAACCACTTCACTGTGGATTGTTGAATATCCTCATCCGAGATATATATATATTTATTGTAGCAGAGACTCTATGTCACAAATCTACCCGGAAACAAGAGTTTGAATGTAGTAATTGAATTACATGTCACAATGATGGTGTCATAAATCACAATGTGTATGAGCTTTTGAGAGGGGATGGTTTAGTTTAATTGATGTGATCTCAATTGAACGGGTCATATGTCGAGTAACCGGTTTCAATTTTGTTTGGTTTGGTGTTCAAGCCCAATCCTCGTGTACTCCATGCGTTAACGTCTTCATGACCCAATGGCCAATACTGCAATGAGTTTTTTCTTGGGATCTTTTCATTGCAGTTGATATAAACAAAAACAAATCATAATTATGCTTCTTTTATGAATTATCGTGATCTATACTATAAGAAGATGTAATCTTCGTCTATTAAACGTTGAAAAAAACAAAAATATGTAGGTGATCATAACAACAACAAAAATTGCTACTAATGTAATAAATTGGTTACTAAAAATCATAATCACAATCATTTTGAAAGAAATAAAAAAACTATCCATTTTGAATCTTTGACTAAAATGAGAGAGGGTTCCGTTAGAAGCATCGCGTTGTTCTGTCAAACATCAAACGAATAATGGAAGCAACGAAATGACAAATGAAACTCGTCTCTCTAGACTATTTTACGGGAGAGAAAAAAAGTCGTCTCTAGACTAGCAAATATATCAATGGCTAATCATAAAGAAATGAAATAGTCAACTAATGTTTTAGTGCTTTTCAATTTGATATTTTTGTGCGGATTGAATCGTTATGTTTCGATTACTTGGATGAATGGATTTCGATTCGAGTGCTTATTTGTGGCAGATTTGCAGAAAACTCATATCAAGATGTTTGCTCATTCATCATATCATATGATAGTTCGTAGTATTGACCACTAGCTTCAACTTTGAGATGTCGACGACTAATTATATTTTCGAAAGTGGTAAACGTTAGTTTACTCGTCCATTTGCAAACTTTTGTTTTGATTGTTTTTTTATCTCAAGGCATAATATTTTCGAGCTATAACTAACATACTTTTACACGGTTAAGTATTTTTTAAAAGGGGCAGATATGTAGATTTACCTTTAAGTTACGTACCAAACTATATAAGAGGGATTAGGTTCATCTATTGTGTTAGTCGATATCTAAACATATGCGAAAATATACCTTTTAGTGTAAGGAACAAACGGCGGAGGGATTAGCAACTCTCACGGCGCTTTCTCAAGCCCGAAATCTGGGATACTACAAGTTCATAGTCGCCTCAGATTCGCAACAGCTGATCAAGGCAATCAACAAGAAGGATTCCAGCAAGGAACTCCACGAGATTCTCCAAAATATCCTAATTCTATCTCTAGATTTCGAGAAAGTTTCTTTTGTCTATGTACCGAGAGAAGAGAACCGTCAAGCCGATTCACTGGCAAAACGGGCACTCAGCGAGATTTGTTTTGAACCGGTTTAGAATTAAATGAGAAAGAAACTGTTTGCACCAAAAAAAAAGTGTAAGGAACAAACCAGCTTTAAAGTGTTATTACTCTGTATATTTTGAACTATCTAGAATTATAATTTCAACTACCAAATCACGTGTTTATATGCAAATATGAGTATATAAGAATTGAAAAGATTAGATACGAATTAGCAAACAACTCAAAATAATAAAAGGAATGTGTAACAAAAGAGAAGAGATGACTCAACTATTTAGTTCCTTTAAGGTCAAGTAAAAGAAAAATCAATATTCATAGATTCAACGTACCAAGTTGCCTCTCTCAATAAGTCGCTCTCACGAGACTCAAAACCCTTTGAGCATAATTGACTCTTCAAAAGAAGACAGGACACGTCTTATGTTTCTTTGCCCTTTTGAATTCTTTCACTTCACCTCCCAAATATCTCCTTTTTATTAATTGAAAGACTTAGCCAAACCAAAAATTCATATTTGCCTGGTTAAACAAGAAAAATCTTGTAATTTTATTGTGAATATTCTTATTCGATTGGTTATACTAAATTTGAAAATGAGTTTGCCAATGAAAATTGAAATAATCATCCAATAAATGAGGAAGATTTGTTGTCCTTTTTGTTTGATTGTTCCATGTAATATTGACTAGAAGAATCAGACGTGTAGTTGATCTTTGTTTCTCATGACTCGCTACATTCTTTTCGCTGAAATTTAAATAACTTATCGTGTCACCAAAGAATAATCAAATAAACATTTTTATAATCATTGATCAATGTGTGATTAGATGAACGCGAAGAGATAAAGCTTATAGTAAGATGTCTCCTAAACCTAACTTCTACACGCACTCTAGATATAAATATATGACAAAACGAACGGTCGAAACTCCAAAAGTACAAAACATGTCTTTAAAACTAATTTAAGTTAACTAAGTACATGATTAAACGATGTTTATGTCAAGTAGCTGTCGCTAATTGCAACAATTAGATAACCAAGGCAAGATTCTGTCGGTTATATCCATGCAAGCAACAAAACCATATATTCCGAATTTAAAATATACTCATACCGATTATTATTGAGTTTACTATGAATACATTATCCTGGCTTTTATTATACGCCAATAATACTTGATACCATTCCTTTAAATATGTTATCTCACACGTCAATTATAAGTTGGAAAACACACGCATATGCAATAATATAACTTTATCCCACGTAGCTGTACATGAATCTGAATTAAAATTAACAGTCATCAAGTGTTTAATCAGGTCCTACAAATCTTTGCATCATGTTGATTGTTGCCAATCACCCAAATACTGATCTCAATTCCGATGTATCTACTTAGCAAACTAAACATATACAATCTGACTATTGATGTATTTTACGATATGCTAATAGTATGACAATATGCTATATATATGGTTTTTCCAAGAACAAGCGACTGGTTTATTTCCCTAATAAATTAATAACGATCTAATATAACGACGAAACTCCTATTGGTGTAAGTTCCATTGCATGTTAAATAGTAGTACTACGATTGGCTCGATCAACCGATACGCGTTGTTAGTTTGATTAATTATGTTAAGAAAAATGTTAATTATGATCGACAATGTCAATGTTAATTCTGTTAAGTTTGGTTAAGAAGTTGTGAATTTGCTAGTAAACGAATGTTTTTTAAAAAGAAAAACTCTATTAATATGCATCATACATCCAAACGATCCTTTTGTTACAAAATAGAGGAACCAAAGACTTCTCCATTTCTTTATTACAGAACCGCAAGTAGCAGATGAAAACAGGGTTCACCGAAACAGATCATTACCCTCTTTCCCCTAATCTCCTCTCAAGACATTAAAATTAACAATTTAATAATTAATCAAAAAGAAGATTAATTAAATCACTGCTTGTTGTTCAAGAGAGCTGCTCGTAGCTGAGCTGGGTCAATCTCGTTGGAAACGGTTTCGGGTCTGTAATAACCGGTTTTGGGATCAGGAACCCACGAAGTCTTCTGGGTCGATTCTTCCACTACCTTCTTCTTCATCGCCGCCGAAACAACGGATCCACTTTTCCCACCGCTCGAAACGCTCGATTGCGCCGCCGTGGCCGCATAACCACGTCTGGTAACAGAAAAAGACTTTAGAAAACAGAGCATAACGAGAAAAAAACAGAGCAACAGACGAGATAAAAGCAGAGCATAGCGAAATTACCGGAAGATTGCATTGGAGAGTTCTTGAGAGACGAAAGCAGATACGATCTTAACGTTAGCGAGGGAACGAGCCATTGTAGAGAGAGAGAGAGAAAACAGACAATAAAAGGTCGAAACTTTTTTTTGTTGGGAGGTTGTTTCTTCTTTTCACCGCCGCAGAAGGAGAGATTTATGCGAGAATTTGATTTTTTTTTTCTAGTCTGCGGCAACGAGAATGAAGAAACTTTGGTTTCGTCTGTGTTCTCTCTCTCAAACTTGAATGAGTTTTGAAATGGCTTGAGGAGATGGGAAATGAGGAAGAGGAGAGGAAGGTTTATATAGAGAAGGAGGAGAAGGGAGAGAAAAAGGAAGTAACTTCGATATTGCCTTTTCACTACCACAAAAAAACGACTGCGTCAATTATGGCCTTTGACCCATATTTAGCTTTCCTTTTTTTGTTCTCGTGAAGTCAAACTTAGCCTTCTTCCTTTTTTTTGTTTAATAAAAAAGTAAGCTTTAATTAGGTTTAAAATGTGTGATACACATGAGCGTGTTTAATTAACGTTTTTGTAGAGGTTTAAGTAATTTAACTAATATTTCATTAGGGATTTTTTAAAAATATTCAGGAGTTGTGCACATTTTAGAAAAGCTAATTGTAATAATGCTGAATCTAAACTCTTTCTATCAGTTTACTAAAAATTTAAAATTGAAAATGACACATTTATTTTGTTACAAAAGAAAACTATACGAACGATTGAATGGTTGATGCTAATATACATGTAGACATGTGTAAGGTAGGCAAAGTGAGGTTTGAATACACTATAAATGTGTTTTAGCATGTCAACATGTCACTGGTTAAAGTTTCTACTTGTAGTAATTGAATAAATAATTCGGGGAATAGAATAACAAAATGATAACATATACTAGCTGGTATAATGAATTAATAATAGATATTTTGAGGCGGTGGAGTTTCTCTTTATTGGTTCTCGACGACCACTTGCACTCTACTCCGTTGCTTCCTAGTTTTCGCCCCCAGGTTCATAATTGTCCCAAGTCACAAGCATCTTGTTTCTTTTCTTTTTCTGCTTGGTAATGGTTTCGCATCTTGTAGCTTTCGTATTAAATTATAACTTTTGTTGGCTTTCTCGAGATACGTATATATCCTTTTTTTTGACAATCTCTACATACATATATAGGTGAGCTAGTATGTATTTAGAACTTGTGACAGTTATACTCCTGCTATATTACAAAATTGAAGTTAAATGAGCAAAATTAAAGTAAAGTTCGGGGATGAGGACAGGCTGTTATGTTAGGCGGTTGGTGTATTTTTGAACTGTGAACATGTCGTTGGTTCTCTTCATCTCCACCAGTGGCGGAGCTAGGATTTTTTTTTACAAGGGTCATAAGTCATAACAAAAAAATTGTTATAAAAAAAACTTAAATGTATGAGAAAAGTTCTATGAAAGGGTTCACTAGAGGTTCGAACTTGGGTTCAAGTGGGTCATTGCCCAGAAATATACCAATTGAGCTGTTAGTTCTAATAAAAATTAGCTATATTAAAATTTATTTATCCTATTTCATCTGGGTCAGCTGACCCACCTGCCACCTCTCTAGCTCCACCACTGATCTCCACCACTAAACATTTGTGATCAGTAGCGGACCTACATGGTGGTCACTTGACACCCCTAAAATGAATATTTATTTAAATTTTTGAGCTAATACATCATTAAAATCATAGCTAAGTTGGTTAAAATCCTCACTTTGACTCCCCTAACCAGAGTTCGAATCCTTCCCTTGACGCTTAATTTAAATTTTGACCCAGGTAAAACGAATTTCTAGGTCCGCCACTGTTTGTGATGTCTTTTTGGCTTTTATTTTACATGGTCTCTACTTTTGTGTTTTGTTATGTTGTTGGTCAAAATCTCTATCTCTTCTTTTACATGTGTCACCTGAAAATTAGTTGTCATGTAAGTTTGATTAGAGTAATGTATATTTATTTACAAAGCTTTATCGCAGTTAGCATCGAATAAACGTTTGATTACAAGTTTTACCTCTTTTATCTAAAATAAGTTTTTAAATAACTAAGCTGGAACCATTCAGTTTGATGAATTGATAGAGTTTTTGTTTTTCTAAATAACAAAAAGGTTTTTGATCTAAAAAAATGTATCGATCATAAAAAGTTGTTGTTCCAAATCTTAATATCACAAAAAAATGGGAAAAAAAAAGTCAAAAACAAACCAGGTCTAAAAAGTCACCCTGAGTATAAATCACTCATATCACAAATAAATGGGCCAAAAATAGTGAAAATCAAATTGTTGAAACCACAATTAAAGGCTTTTCATAATGAGCCTGAAGATCTATTATGTCTTCCCTCTACAGACCGTCAGACCGACTATGTATGTTACGGGCTAATAACAAACATGCATGCTCCATTTTCGTTAGACCCAAACAGACTTTAAGGATAATCTTGTGTTCTGATTAAAACTTAGTGATAAATCATAAAACTATGCCCAATAATGCTAATCCTATAACGTTAATGAGTAATTTGGCAGAATTGTGATCAATGGTCAACACATTTCTTTAGTCTGTTTACGATTATTTGAAGGCACGTTCTTGGAAAAGTGTGTAGTGGCTAACCTTAAACACCAATAACATATTGTTTTAGACTTTTCGTTTCAAAAATGTTACTAATGTTAGTTTTTCATTATTTATAACTCAAAATTTACTTTTCCCTAGAATAAATTCAACCACTTTATTTATTTATAGAAAAGTATCTTTCATGAATCTTGATTTTATTTTGTTTGCCATCGATGATTTATCAATCGCAGGAAATAAATATTGGATTAAATGAATACATTTAAAAGTGTCAGGGGGGTCTTTATGAACCTATCATAATGTTTGGGCTCTTTTTGCGCTTACGAAAGTTATATGAGCAGCATCCGCAAAATTCAACGACAACTTTTCAATTTTTGTAAAATAAATTTTCAAAATTTCAAAAAGGAAGATGAAAAAGCCCTAAAGCTTTCAAGGGAAGACATTGACGAAGAAGCAGACTTCAAATGCTCGCGCGAACTCGCTTCCAAATTAAACCATAAAAATCAGCCTTTTCTCCGAAGAAGAAGACGAAGAAGTAAAATGGCGAACAAGCTCAAAGTCGATGAACTCCGTGCAAAGCTCGCCGAGCGTGGACTTAGCACCACCGGACTCAAAGCCGTTCTGGTCTCTCTCTCTCTCTCTACTTATCTGAAGCAATTTGTTCTCTGAGATCTTCTTATCTATATTCGGATTTTGAATTTGGTGTTTCGACGGGATTTGCAGGTGGAGAGGCTTGAAGAGGCAATCGCCGAAGCCGAGAAGAAGGAGGAATTAAAGAGCAATAAGAGGAAACGAAACCGAGATTCTTCGGATGATGACGACGAATCGAACAAATTGATTGCAATTGGCGAGCTTCGTGGCATGAATGTGAAGGAATTGCGCGAGGAAGCTAACAAGAGAGGCTTAGCTTCAACGGGTACCAAAAAGGAGCTTCTCGAGAGGCTCTGCAACGACGCAAACAACGATTCCAATTCCCAAGTCATATCGAGTAATGGAATGTTCCTTCTCTTCTCTGGGCTGTTGCGAATTCGATTTTTGGGCATGGCATTGTTTATACTGATGTTCGTATTGCCAATTTTCAGGTACATATGCAGCTGAAGATGTCGACAGCAATGGCTTTGAAGAGGAAATTAAAGAAGAGAAAATCGTAACGGCGACAAAGAAAGGCGCAGTGGTATTGGACCAATGGATTCCTGATAACATAAAGAGCCAGTACCATGTTCTTCAAAGGGTAAGTTGTTATTATGTATCTAATCTTGAGTTTCATGCATTTGTTCTCATGAATGTGGTAGAACTGAGTTTTTTTTGTTGTTGAATGTTGTAGGGTGATGAGATATATGATGCAATGTTAAATCAAACAAATGTCAGGGATAATAACAACAAGTTCTTTGTCCTACAAGTGCTAGGTTAGTCTCTGGAACAGATTCTGATGATTAGTCTCCTTCATTTCTCCGTTAGCAATAACTGTTATCGTGAATTTTTGTGTAGAGTCGGATAACGGGAAAACGTATATGGTCTACTTCAGATGGGGAAGAGTTGGAGTGAAAGGGCAGAGTAAATTAGATGGGCCTTTTGACTCATGTGATCGTGCAATAGAAATATTTGGCAATAAGTTCCTTGACAAGACCAAGAATTTTTGGGCTGACAGAAAGGAGTTTATCCCTATTCCCAAGCTCTATACATGGCTCGAAATGGACTACAGCAACGAGGAAAATGAGTCAGTTGTGAGTGTTTCTGAATCCTGAATGTTGATGCCTCTATGTTACAGTTTGTGATGTGCATATATGCATGCTCAAAAGTATCTGTTGGGATGAGATATTTGTATGCATATATACATTTTCTTCGTTTATCAAATGCACTTGATCTAAGTTTGCAGTTTTGTTTTCTTCTCAGGTCAATGATATTCCCCAATCATCTACTCAAGTTAAACCGGAGGAATCAAAACTGGATCCCAAGGTTGGCAAGTTTATCTCTCTTATATGCAATGTAAGCATGATGGCACAGCACATGATGGAAATAGGTTAGTCTCTTCCATAGGCGATATATGGACATTTGATACATAATTTTCTTAGTTTTGGTGTCTTTGTACTTCCTACCTTTTCTCCGATCCATTTGTTTGTCATTTGCCTGGTTTCTTCACTACTAGCTGATTGTCATACTGCCTCTCATATGTTTTTGAATTTTTGAACTTGAAGGATATAACGCTAACAAATTGCCACTTGGTAAGCTAAGCAAGTCCACAATATCAAAGGTAAAAATAGTAAATGGTTTCGTTTTGTCTCATTATATTCTCTTGGTGATATCAGATAACAGCTCCTTTTGAATCTCTCTAGGGTTATGAAGTGTTGAAGAGAATATCGGAGGTGATAGATCGGTATGATAGAGCGAAGCTTGAGGAACTGAGTGGGTATGTATCTGGCTAATCACTAGACTAAAGTGTCACGTTTAGTGGAATATATATAACCGGCTCTCACTTCTCACAAAGAAATTGGACTCGAGCTAGTCTAACTTTGTGTTCATTACTGATGCAGAGAGTTCTATACTGTGATACCCCATGATTTTGGTTTTAAGAAAATGAGTAAGTTCATGTGCTAAAGTTTAAATATTAAGAATGATATTATAACATTACATTCACTAACGTCTGAACTTCGAGTTGTAACAGGTCAGTTTGTTATAGACACTCCTCAAAGGTTAAAACAGAAAATAGAAATGGTAACTATTTCTTCTGTTTCCACTTAACTATTTTTGGCCTTCAGTAGATTATAAGTTTATAACACATCACTGTATAATGTAAGGTCGAGGCATTAGGTGAAATCGAACTCGCGACAAAGTTGTTGTCCGTCGACCCGAAATTGCAGGTAAGTCAATCAGTCTATGTGGCTTTAAGGCATCAAATTACTTCTTTCGCATAGTTATCTAGTGAGACATGACAATATTTTTGCACTGGCTGTAGGATGATCCTTTATATTATCACTACCAGCAACTTAACTGTGGATTGACGCCAGTAGGAGCTGACTCAGAAGAGTTCTCTATGGTACATTTTTTGGTTTTGCAAACTTCCAACGAACATGTTTGATACTCGAGTATCTCGAACATTTCTGTAATTTTATACCTTTTGCTGTTTTCTCCTTGTATTAAAAACCAGGTTGCCAAATACATGGAGAACACTCATGCAAAGACGCATTCGGGATACAAAGTTGAGATTGCTCAACTATTTAGAGCTTCGAGAGCTGACGAAGCTGATCGATTCCAACAGGTGTGCTATAGTATTTCACGCTTGTCCTTACCGTACACAATGATTCTGATTTCTCACTTTGGCCCTGTGAAAAACTTAAAACTTTTTTGGCAGTTCTCAAGTGCGAAGAACAGGATGCTACTCTGGCATGGTTCACGTCTCACTAACTGGGCCGGTATTTTATCTCAAGGTAACATGTTTCTCTTTTTTTTTTTTTCTCTTTCCCTCTCAGTGTTTCTCTTTTTCTTCTCCTCAGTGAACTTACTATGAGACATCAAACAGGTCTTCGTATAGCGCCACCTGAAGCGCCTGTGACAGGTTACATGTTCGGCAAAGGTGTTTACTTTGCAGATATGTTCTCCAAAAGTGCGAACTACTGCTACGCTAACAGTGGTGCTAATGACGGTGTTTTGCTTCTTTGCGAGGTACACTCTCTTCTTTCTCTTTTGCTCATACAACAAAATGGTCCTATCTCGTAACTAACAAGATCTCTACATCATTCAACATAACTGCCTTTTTATGTTTGATAATGTTATAAACTTCTCTAGGTTGCTTTGGGAGACATGAATGAGCTTTTATACTCAGATTATAACGCAGATAATCTTCCCCCCGGGAAGCTAAGGTACACATATATTCTCATTTATCACACAAGTTCTTTATGGCGTTTAATTTACTAATTTAGGGATGATGTTACAATGGCTTTAACCGGCCTAGTCCTGGCATGACCGATCCTATAAGTCCTATAACAAAAGTTTGATTTTGTAACTGATGGTTGCAGCACAAAAGGTGTGGGGAAGACAGCACCAAACCCATCAGAAGCTCAGACGCTAGAAGACGGTGTTGTTGTTCCTCTTGGCAAACCTGTGGATCATTCAAGCTCCAAGGTTTTGCTTTGCTTTTGATACACATTTGCATAATCAAAATCCCAAAAAATGAATGTCAAGTTGATAAATTGGGTTTTGAATTGATTTGCTTTTTTTTTTCGCAGGGGATGTTAATGTACAACGAGTATATTGTCTACAATACGGAACAAATCAGGATGCGATATGTGATCCAAGTCAAATTCAACTACAAGCACTAAAACTTCTCTAGTGTTTTTTGGACAAGAAGATCCAACCACTTCATTCCAACAACTTTTATGGTTACAATTTGACTAGTTTTTGTATTCGGTTTGGGATTTATAACTCGCTAATAAATTGGACTTGGTTTCTTTCTTATGTTTCTAAGAAATTAACGGTTTAATCTTAATTTAGACCGCATAACAACAAACCATAACCCAATTATATCTGGTTTAATACAAGAGGTGGTCAATTCAATCGAACCGAAGTCAAAATGATCCAAACCGAACCAGCGGCTTAGGGTCCTTGTATTAGTAAAACGATTTTGTTCCTTCGTCTTTAAACCTACGAGAAAAAGTCGAGTAGCTGCAAAAAACACAGGCAGCCATGAAGATGAAGAGGAAATCTGATTCCAAAACCCTAGCTAAGGGAAAGAAGAGGAAAGGACCTCACTTGCCCAACTCAATACTCAAGACCATTGCCAATGAGAAACGCCCTCTGAACTCTGACGATGATGAGATCGACTCCGATGAAGATAACGGCGGCGATTTGTATGAGTACGAAGAAGGTGTCCCTGAAGAGGAATCCAGGAGAAACAACCGCTACGACCGCGTCGATAACTTCGAATTCGAGCTTCCCGAGGATTTCAAGGTTTTTCCTTTTCCTAGTCCTACTTTCTCTTCGTCAATACTCCGTAATCGACTATGTTTCTGAGCGCCGCCACTTTATGAATTCTTAATAATTTAGGTCAAAAGTTTTTTTAATGGAGATTAAGATTAACTATTCGTGAATTTAAAAGTTCTTAATTGATTGAATTGTACGAGATTTAGTTATTTAGTTCTGGTTTTTGGCAATTGTATTTGCTTTGTATATTCCTTGTAATCTGTCTTTATCTCAATGTCAGGATGAAAATGTGGAGTCTGAAAGTGATGACGATGGTGAGAACTCGGACGGTGATGAAAAAGCGGAGAGACACACACGGATGTTGCAATCTCTCACTGGAATGCCAAGTGCAGCCTTTGAAGGTAATGCCACTAAAAACTGAGACTTTCTTCTCAGAGTTTTGCTTATTATCTGCTGCTTTCATTGCATTTGTAAGATTTATAAGTAAATCCAATGGTCCTTGTTCTTTTTTTTAAGGTGAGAGTAAGAGAAAGACTGTACTCGTCACTGAAGCGTATCCAGAGTCTGAATTCAACCCCACCCGTGATGTTCTGGAGGGTAAAAACCTCGTCACATTTGAGGACCTTTTGGCGCCTCTTGAAGGAGAACCTGGGTACCCACAACTAAGAAAGGGAGTCTCCAAGTTGCAGAAAGGTGATCAGACTGTTGTTCATGCTCCTCTGCCGAAGCCAGAACGAGAAAGAGTGGAACGGAAAGCGGTGGGGAAAATAGTTGACAAGGAGTTTAGCAAGTGGTTGCCTCAGGTGAAGAGGAACAGGGAGGCACCAACTGTTTACTTTAATAACCAAGACGCCAATGTTGGATACTCTACGGTTGGTGCAATAGCGTCAGAGTTTCAACCCAGGACTGCTTTTGAGAAGAAAATGGCTTCGGTGCTCAATGACAACAAGGTTTGGGAGGCTCACCAAGAAGATGGCGCTAGGCTTCTTGAATTGAACGAGGCAAGTTCTGTGATCTTGTTCATTCCCTGCATGTCACTGCGTTGAACATAGTTTGTATATACTTATGATGTAGCTGTTGTGGATGCAGGTGTCTATGGAAGACCACATAAACGACCGTAACCACATTGCCAAGATGCGGAGCCTGCTCTTCCGTCACGAGGTGAAATTTAAACGAATCAAGAAGATCAAGTCTAAAACTTACCATCGCCTGAAAAACAAAGACCTGAAATCGGCAGTGGATACATTATTGGACCCAAAAATTGCTAAAGAAGAGGCTCTGAGGCAGGAGGTTAAACGAGTAGAGGTGAGTAAAATTTCCTCTTCCTTGCACAAATATTTCATCAAGACACTGTCAAAAAGGAGGCAAATCGTCTTATTTGTGCGTATGTTATTGTGGTTATGCAGGAACGTATGACGCTAAAGCACAAGAACACTGGAAAATGGGCCAAACGTATGATAAGCCGTGGACTGAATGTGAAATACGATGGAACTCGGGCAGCTATCTCTGAGCAACTTCAGATAAATGAAGATTTGTCCAGAAAGAGGAACTCCATGAATGATGGAAGCAGCAGTGATGAGAGCGACGATGAGGACGAGTTGAATGATGGTTCAGATGAAGATACTCCTTCTAAATTGTTAGCAAAAGCAAAGGAGAACACACTGAAAGTCGTGGAAGATGATGAAGTGCCTAATTCTGGTCTTTTGTCATTACCTTTTATGGTAATTCTTGCTTTCATTTCTCGAAACAATTATGATTATTTTATTCTGGTTTTCGTCATTCATGTGTTAAGTCTTACATTTTCCGGTTTTGTTAGGCCCGTGCTATGAAAAAGAAAAACGAGGAGGCTATTGAAGAAGCTAAACGTGCTCTTGAAGAGTATGAGGAGCTGGAGAATTCTGCTGGAGCAGAAAACCCTATAAACCCCGCTAAAGTTAGTGGTAGAAAAACATTTGGTGCAACCGCTAAAGTCGAAGCTCCAAAAAAGTCTAAAAAGGAGTCGGACAACTTCTATGACAACAACAGTGATAGTGACAATGATATGGATGGTATAGAAGATAATGACTTGGAGCCTGTAAGAGATAATGCTTCACCTGCCAGAAACATTGGAACCATTACAGAAACCGAGGTATCTTGTTATTCTCGTTAGGTTAATCATCATGGTTCTTTCTCTTCCTCTTTCAGTTCTCTGATTACAACTTCTTTTTTTTGATTTGTCTGCAGAAGTTCGAGGATGTTGTTGGAAATCCAGCTTCTAAGACAACTTTTGATGTTGCCTTGTACGCATCAGGCTCGTGGAAGAAGGTTTGCTTTGATTTTTCTTTAAGATCAGTCTTACATCTCTTTTTGTGTAATCTTATATTAACTCCTTTTTTGTATGTTATCCAGATGTCAAGCTGCAAAAACACAGAATCCAAAAAAGCTTCAAAGACGGATGTACCCGTCTCACAGGCCAAAGATAAAAAGGTTTGTTGTCCTTTGTTCTCCTTCCAGTTTTGGCTTCAGGTGATTTTATTTCCTCACTTTGTGTATCTTCCTTTTGAAATCCATACAGGAATCGAGAGATGAAGAAAGTGATGAGGATTCAGAGAGTGAAGCAGAGCAAATGGTGGAAGGGATTTTGACATCTGCTTCCAACGAAACCTTTGACATTCCTTCTCAGGCAGAGCTTATAAACCGTGCTTTTGCTGGTGACGATGTGGTAGACGAGTTTGAGAAGGAGAAGCAAGAGGTTCTAAATCAGGAAGTTCCTGAGCCCGAAAAACCGGTTCAAGTTCCTGGTTGGGGACAATGGACCAACATCCAAAACAAGAGAGGTTTACCTAAATGGATGGTTAGAGAACACGAAGAAGCCAAGAAGAAGAGAGAGCAAGAACTCAAAACAAGGAAAGACGCTCGTTACAAACATGTTATCATATCAGAAAAAGTCGATAAAAGGGTCAGTGTCTCTGTCTCTCACTTAACATCCCCAACAATCCCTTTGTTCATTCTTAACCATCCGTTCTAAAGCTGACGTTTAATTGTTTTTGACAGGCTGAGAAACTTCATACAAAGACTCTACCTTTCCCTTATACATCGCAGGAAGTTTTCGAGCACAGTATGCGTATGCCTATTGGACCTGAGTTTAATCCCACGTCTGTTATTGCAGAACTAAACCGACCTGAGGTTCGTTTCCATTACTTTGTTAAACTCTCATTAGTACCAATAAGTTGTTGCATTTTCTTAATCTTGAGGCGATAAACCTTTATGTGCAGGTTGTGAAGAAAGCTGGTGTGATCATTAAACCGGTCAAGTTTGAGGAAGTGGATCCAAATGAGAAAGGAGACGACGAAAACCCTCGAAGCCATCAGAAGCAAAGACCCAAAAAGGGTAGTAATCAAACCAATAAAGGTAAAGGCAAAGTCAAGTCCAAGTAAAGGACCAAAGAGTTTCGTATTCTCTCAATCTTTATTTAGACACAAATGTTACAAGAAAAAAAACCTTAAACCCCTTGGGGTTAGGAACAATTTTGCTTTGTAATTTGTCTTATTTATTAAAGTGATACATTTTTCATGTTTATTTCATAGCTCGTCAAATCCTTGTTCATCACCATCTTCTTCCACTCTCTGAAACTCCTGTCTCCATTTCTCCATCTGCAAGATTTTGTCAATTTGCAAAGATTATCAACTAATGAAGATCACACATGAATCTTAACTGAGAGACACTTATTATTACCTGATCATCTGAAAACCTGAGCTGTTGCGCTATAAACAGAACCGTGTCATGGTTTCCTGAAGAATGTAACACAACGCCTAAACTCACAGCGATCTCTTCATAGCTAACTATCTTCACCCGAAAACCATTGCTCATGAACATTTTCTCCATCCACTTTGTTAAATCTGACTGCAAATTGTAAACACGAGAGATGAGATACTTAAATTTAAGATAGAAGTCCAAAGATAGTTAAGAGATGAAAGTGACCTCATGGAGTGTGATATTTGTAGGCAATTCTCCAATTAGATAGCATTCATTCATGGCCAAGCTACTAATGGCTGAGAGAATCGCTTCCAAATGCGATTGTGAGTCAATAGGTAAGCCCTGTTAAGAATTTGAAGGATCATGTCAATATATAAACATTCATACAAACTTGCAGGGAATGGTGAGAGTCTGAGAGATAGATGGAAGAAAAACATATAATCACCTGCATTGCCCATATACTTGGCCGATTCCCGCTAAACCCTTTGTCTCGTAAACATTGATCTATGTTTCCGGATTCTACAGGAATGTGAAAGAACATGCAACCTTTAGGGATCCTAGCTCCCACACCTGAATCAGTAAACAAAACAATATAGAACCACCATGGAACGTTTCACTATACCAAACATATAAAAAGCAAACAAGACATGTTTTGTTGAAGTGATAACAAAATGGAGCAAAAGAAAAGCACAAACCTTGAAGCTTGTCAGATGAGAATTCGAAAACGTTTTGTGGTGAAACATCAAAGATCATAGTCGAAGTTGGCCAGTTAAGCCTGTAAGGTCGAGTATCCATGCCATCTGTGAACAAGACAACCTGCAAAGATGTGATATCACTTGCACAAAAGAAATTATTCATGCTTAAGAAAGAGATGAGTAGTGAGTAAAGTAACCTGCTTTAGTCCATCAATGCGTTTAGCTGTATGTAACAACTTGTCATCTATGAACTTTGTTGCAAGACAGTAATGTTGTTGCTGTTTATGGATGTTCGATTCCTTATTCGTATAAGGAGGTACGAAGCAAGCCGCATAAGGGTCGATGAATAGAGGCTCTGCGTACAGAAATTCGAAAGCGTTTTAGTCAACTTTCGATGAAATGGTGTAATGTGTCCGATGAAATGCGTAAGAGAAAGTGAAGATACAATCATCGATTATCAGAGAGAGAGAGAGAGATTGCCTGCTCGATTGGTTTCTCGAAGACGAAGAGATGCTGATTCAATAGCTGACTGAATCAACGGGTCATTCTCTTCTCTGAGCTCAGCTCTCACCGTACGAATGGGGGACTTCGGATACTGACGGAGGCGGAGTGCGGTGGCCGGAAAGTGTAGAGGAGGAACACAAAGACTTTGCATCCGTGATGATTATCGCCGGTGACTTTTGGATGATGAGGAAGATGGTAAATCCTCTGAGTGAGTCAGAGGTTTTCATGTAGATCATGTTTTCTTTTTCTTATTTTTTAATTGTCCGATATAATACAATATCTACGTACCATTAATTTGTTCATGGGATATTAATGATTTGAAGATGTTTATGGATCTAAAATGAGGGGTAATTGCGTCCACTTCTGAATGGGACCCAGTGCAACCAATGTATAGCGGTGAGATTTTCGAAGTGAGAATTTGAATTTTCAATTCTCAAGATCCAAAAGTAAATAAAAAACCATATAACAGATGGCGACAAACGGACAAGTGAATAAGACTGTCCTTAAAAAGACAAAATAAACCCTAAATCCGCAACAACAGGCCAAAACCCCCAAATGTTTTTGAATTTGTGTTATCTATAGGACCGCGGGATTTTCCTTTTGTAAATTTCAGAGATTCATTTTTGCTTCTTCATCGTTTTCTTTTGCTTTGACCACCTCCGAAATCTCGCAAGGTTTGTTCTTTTCACCCTCAGAGCAAAAGGAACAGCTCCATTAGTAGCAGCAGGTACCGGATCTGTTTCTCCGACATTCACGGTTCTGTCTTCTGTAATTTTTGAGCTTGTTTGATTTCTTCGATTTAGCTGTCTGTTTCTCAATTTCCTCGTATATGTTCTTTACATTTCTGGTTTGAGTCCAGTATTTGGTCGCAAAGCTCACGGATTTATCACTAAATATCATTTCTAGAGGATGAGATTTGAGAAAATTAAAAAATCTAGCGAAAGTTTATTACTTAAACAATAAATCTTATTGTTGTGTTCTGTAATTTTTTGCCATTTCTCTTGAACTTGTCTGATTTTCCTTCGTTTATGGTCGTTATTTCTGGTTGCAAGGATAAGATTTGAAAAAAAAAAAAGAAGCTAAAGTTTATGACTTTAAGAACAAATCTTATGTTCTTATGTTCTGTATTTTTGCTATCTCTCTTGCACTTGTCTGATTTCTGGTTGCAAGGATGAGATTTTGAAAATTTATGTTAAAAAAAGTGTATGACTTTAAGAAGAAACCTTATGTGGCTGCTGTGATTTTGTCTTTGTGTGTTTGCAGTTAGAGTAATGGGTCTAAATCTCAACCCAATTCTGCGACAAGAACTGGCTAATCTCGACAAAGACACAGAGAGCCGTAAAACAGCGATGAAAGCTCTCAAATCTTACGTCAAGGACTTAGATTCAAAGGCTATTCCAAGTTTCCTAGCACAAGTTTTCGAGACAAAAGAAACCAACTCCTTATCCGGCGAATACACAATCTCTCTCTACGAGATCCTCGCTCGTGTCCACGGACCAAACATCGTTCCACAGATCGATATAATCATGTCCACAATCGTCAAGACTTTAGCTTCAAGCGCAGGCTCTTTCCCTCTCCAACAAGCTTGTTCCAAAGTCATTCCAGCAATCGCTAGATACGGAATTGACCCGACAACGGCTGAAGACAAGAAACGGTTTATCATCCACTCTCTATGTAAGCCTCTCACAGAGTCTCTCTTGGGATCTCAAGAGAGCCTCACTTCAGGCTCTGCATTGTGTCTCAAGTCTCTTGTGGATTGTGACAACTGGAGATTCGCTTCTGATGAGATGGTGAACAAGGTTTGTCAAAACGTGGTCGTTGCGTTGGACTCGAACACGAACCAAACGCATCTTCAAATGGGTCTTGTCATGTCACTCGCTAAGCATAACCCTTTGATTGTTGAAGCCTACGCGAGGCTGCTGATACACACGGGACTGAGGATCCTGAGGTTTGGTGTAGCTGAAGGAAACTCGCAGAAGAGGTTATCGGCGGTGCAGATGTTGAACTTCTTGATGAAGTGTTTGGACTCGAGAAGCATTTACTCTGAGGTTGATTTGATAATCAAGGAGATGGAGAAGTGTCAGTCTGATCAAATGGCTTATGTTAGAGGAGCTGCTTATGAAGCGATGATGACTTCGAAGAGAATAGCTGGAGAGATCGAGTCGAAGATGGAGAAGAAAGGTTGTCGTTCTGTTACCGGTTCGAATTTCAGCAGAAGAAACTTTGTCAACGCTGCTGATTCGTCTCCTGAGTATTCTTTGTCACCTGAGTCACAGACTCTTGGAGGCTCGTTTAGCGGATATGATTCGCCGATCTCTCATTCTTGTTGTAGCTCTGAGTTTGATCAGCGGAGTGTGAATCGGAAACTATGGAAGCTTAATGGAGGGGTTGTTGATATCTCTTTGAAGGATGGTGTTTTCTCTGGAGACAACAACACTGTGTCTGTGTCTGATTCACCTCTTGTCCCTTATGATCATTGTGAGAATGGCGGCGATGAATTCGAAGGGTTTCCAATGGGAAGTATGAGGAACAGTCGGATGCAAAACACTGTACAGGTGAGAAACTTTGTGCATCATCTTCAAATCAAATCTTTTGTTGTTCTTATAACATTTCTGACTTTTTTTTTTTTTTTTTCTGATGCAACCAACAGAGAGAGCGTTGTTCACGGATCAGTGCTGAAGATTTCAACATTTTCAGCACACCAAGGAAGCTAATCAGTTCTCTTCAAGATTCTGATGATCTGGAGTTGTTAGATCATTCAGTCAATCAAAGTCCAGTACGTTCTCGCCAGAACAGTAAACTCAGAAAGCAATATCCGGCAGAAACAATGTCGTCATCATCAACTGTCATAATTAGTGAAGAAACAGCACCTCAAACGCAGATGCTAATGTGTGAGAAGAAGAAGAAGAAGACGAGCTATATTAAACTCGTTATGGCGATATGTTTTATTGCGGTGGTGCTCTTTACAAGTGCGATGATGTTGATGGAGAATCAAGATGATGGTTACTACAACACTGTGCCAACATGATGATTTCAACATCTTTAATCCTAGAGAGAAGGTAAGTTAGCTAAGCCAATTTACGTGTTGGTTGTTTGTAATGTACTTCGTACAAGGTGTAGTAGACTCTCCGTATTCTTCTTCTACTTGTTCTCGTTTTGTTTCGTAATGGAAATCTGTTGAATCAAACAACTTTTTAGTATAAACTGTATTATGAAAGACTAGTCTTCTACGTCCATAAAGTTTTTCAACTACATTACATATCTTTCTTTCAATATACATAATTACATATGAATTGTAAGAGCACACAAACGTACAGAATCACCTTCCACCAGAGAGTATAGAGTCAACCATGGAAGATCCACCGTTAGACATAACTACTCACCAACTCTGTGGTGGATCCCAGCATCATCATCCCGTTCCCACGCAAGTCTCCAACGGTGACAAATCTGGTAACATTGCATCTCCGTTTAGATAATTCAACACTTGTCTCATAGTTGGTCTAGCAGTGGGTCGGAGTGAGAGCACAACAAACCTAGCTTCAATACCATTTCCACCTCTCTTTGATCACATCTGTCCCTAGATTCGGATCCTTAGCATCCAAAATGTTTCCTCATTCCAAAACCCAAAAACCAAATCCACCAGCAAGACCCTCTCACTCTCGTTCTGAATCTCTATAGGACGTCTACCGCACGCACTTCAAGTAGGAGCACCCCAAACGCAAAAACATCGGTTGCGGTCGTGGCCTTCCTGTCCTGATGTGATCAGGGGCTAAGTATCCCCATGTTCCAGCGACGTGCGTGGTTAGAGGATCCGACCCGTGACCGCACAACCGAGCTAAACCGAAGTCTCCGAGTCTCCCATTGAGCTCCGCGTCTAACAAGACGTTGCTGGCTTTGATGTCGCGGTGAATCACCACTTGTTCCCATTCCTCGTGGAGGAAGAACAAGGCAGAGGCCACACCTTTGATGACTTTAAACCTCTGTTTCCAGTCGAGCGTTACCTCCGGACTATTATACAAGTACTTGTCTAAGCTTCCGTTGGGCATGTAGTCGTATACCAGAAGAAGCTCGTTTTCCGGCGGCAATAACCCAAGAGAGGGACTAAGTTCCGGTGACTCATCCGACCAATACTCACGATCTCAGACACAAACTCTTTCAACCCTTGTCGGGATTCGTTGGAGACTCTTTTCACGGCGATCTTCTTCTTCGTCTTGGGCATGACACCTTTGTAAACGCTCCCAAACCCGCCCGATCCGAGAAGGCCCTTCTCCTTGAACCCTTTGGTGGCGTAGTACAAGTCCTTGAACTTCAATCGAATCTTCGCAAACTCTGTTTCCCAATCTTCAAGCTCCTCCGCGAACTTCCTCTCCTCCTCACAATGAATCGCACCAGGAATACGATCGAGAAGATAAACAAGACCGGAATCAAAAGAGGGCAATTAATGGCATCCGTTCTTGTAGAACCTCTGTATTTTGGTGGGCCCAACCTCGGAATTCGGAAGTTTCGATAAGGCCAACGGTGGAGCTTTCCCTTCACCTGGAAACTCCACCCAAGAACAAAATGATCCGACATAACAGAACCGGTGGAAGACGAGAAACCAACGAACATATCTTGCAAAAGAACCGAAGATAGATCTCTGACAGTGGAAACAAGCGGTTTTCTAGGTTTATCCTCGTTGAAGGAGCCATCGTCACATCGATTTGATGTAAGACCATCGTAATCGACCCAAACCTGCATCCGCTGCTGACTGATCAAATCAGATTCTTAAACTGACCCTTCGTCCCAGTATCCAGCTCTCGAACTGTTTATCGACTCAAGCTGTTGATATCGATTCCGACATGGTTATCGTCCATCATCGAACTCCAAATTCGAATCGTGTCTAATTCGACAGCGAACACATGATTTGTGTCATTACCGTTGTTTGTGGTTGAAGAGACCCATGTATTGGCTGGCATCGGCGTACGGGAGGCTTGGCTTAGGAGCGACGACAAAGGCTATGCCCGCCGCTAAGTACGGAGCTGAGGGTGATGGCGAAGACAAAGGTTGTAGAGAAGGACGAGACGTTGCCGTTTGGAGAATCTTTGAACCGGATTGGTTTGGTATAGAAAGCGTGACCGGTTTTCTGGACGGTTGCGTTGGTTAGCTTCAATAAACCGTTGGGTGTGACGGTGGCGATCCCTTGGAGAGATATGTCAGTCAGTGGAGGACGGAAGCCATTGTAAGTGAAGTCAAGACTTTGGGAAGACGATTTTAGGAATTGAAGAGTAGGCTAAAGAGAAGAAGACCATGGTGAGGAGCTGCTTGACGAACATGCCTCTGTAGTCTCTACTTTCTTCTATATAAATTTGTGTGGTTCAGATATCTGAGTTCATGAGAAACTAAGAAGATTTTATGGTGTTGGGAGAGTGTAGAAAAGTCGTAATTTTCTCGTCAAGGGAAAAGTCGTCACCGTAAGCGGTAAGTTCAACTTTTGAATCCATGGTGGGAAATTGATAGAAGACTTCCGTGCTTGACCTCCTCAGTGCCTCGTTTCGCTTTCACGGAATAGTAACAGAAGATCGAATCAACGACATAAATTAGTCAAAAATATGAAGCGCTAAATTTTGTTTTTTAGCATTTCCTATGTTTTGTAGCATCCACATGCCAGAGGCAAGACCATAGAGAAACCGAGCAAATCAGTTATTGATCAGATGAACAAGTGGCACAAAACACCTAAATTTCCATCATAATTCTCAGCACAAAACACCTAAATTTCCATCATAAACACCTAAATTTAGATCTTAGTTTCTGCCAACACCCATATCTTTTGGAAATTTTTTTAGTAGTATTACAGTACATTGTATTATGAAAAAACTGGTCTTCTACGTTGATAAAGTTTTTCAAGTACATTATATATCTTTCTTTCAATATACATATGAATTGTAAGACACACACAAACGTACAGAATCACCTTCCACCAGAGAGTATAGAGTCAACCATGGAAGATCCACCGTTAGACATAACTGGCTCACCAACTCTCTGGTGGATTCCCAGCATCATCATCCCGTTCCCACGCAAGTCCAATGGTGAAAAATCTGGTAACATTGCGTCTCCGTTTAGGTAATTCAACACTTGTCTCATAGTTGGTCTAGACAGTGGATCGGAATGAGAGCACAACAAACCTAGCTTCAAAACCATTTCCACCTCTCTTTGATCACATTCTGTCCCAAGATTCGGATCCTTAGCATCCAAAATGTTTCCCTCATTCCAAAACCCAAAAACCAAATCCACGAGTAAGACCCTCTCACTTCTCTGGTTCTGAATCTCTATAGGACGTCTGCCGCACGCAACTTCAAGTACGAGCACTCCAAACGCAAAAACATCGGTTGCGGTTGTGGCCTTTCCTGTCCTGATGTGATCGGGGGCTAGGTATCCCCATGTTCCAGCGACGTGTGTGGTTAGAGGATCCGACCCGTGACCGCACAACCGGGCTAAACCGAAATCTCCGAGTCTCCCGTTGTGCTCCGCGTCTAGCAAGACGTTGCTGGCTTTGACGTCACGGTGAATCACCACTTGTTCCCAGTCCTCGTGGAGGTAGAATAGAGCAGAGGCCACACCTTTGATGACCTTAAGCCTCTGTTTCCAGTTGAGTGTTACCTCCGGAGTATTGTGCAGATATTTGTCTAAGCTTCCATTGGGCATGTAGTCGTACACCAAAAGAAGCTCATCTTTTCGGCGGCAATAACCTAAGAGAGGGACTAAGTTCCGGTGACTCATCCGACCTATACTCACGATCTCCGACACAAACTCTTTCAACCCTTGTCTAGATTCGTTCGAGACTCTTTTCACGGCGATTTCCTTGTTCGTCTTCCGCATGACACCTTTGTAAACACTTCCAAACCCGCCTGATCCGAGAAGGCCCTTTTTCTTGAACCCTTTGGTGGCATAGTACAAGTCCTTGAACTTCATTCGGGTTCTCGCAAACTCCGTTTCCCAATCTTCGAGCTCCTCCGCAAACTTTCTTCTCCTCCTCACTATGAACCGCACGAGGAAGAGGATCAAGAAGATTAAAAAGAGGGAAATCAACAATATAGTAATCAACACCTCCCTTGGAGTCAAGCCGAGGGACATCCTAAGCGGCCCCAATTCCGGAAATTTCGGAAGTTTCGATAATGTCAACGGCGGAGCTTTCCCTTTTGACCGGAAACTCCACCCGAGAACATAATGCTCCGACAGGACAGAACCAGTCGCAGACGAGAAACCCACGAACATTTCTTGTTGAATAACGGAAGAAAGATCTCTGACAGCCGAAACAAGCGGTTTTCTAGGTTTGTTCTCGGTCAACGGAGCCATTGTTACGTCGATTTTATGCGAAAGGCCATCGTATTCCACCCAAACCTGCATCGGCTTACCACTGATTAAAGTCAGATTCTTAAACTGATCTGTCTCGTTCCAGTACCCAGCCGGCGAACTTTGCACTGACATCAAGCTATTGATATCGATTCCGACATGGTTATCGTTCGTATCATTGAACTCGGCACTCTGAATCGTGTCTAATTCAACGGCGAATACATGATTTGAATCATCACCGTTGTTTGTGATGTTAAATAGCCCGAGGTATTGGCTGGGAGTGGCAGATGGGAGGTAGAAGTTGGGAGCGACGACAAAGGCCATGCCGTGGCCGCTAACTGTTGGCATCAGAGGGTTGATGGCGAAGACAAAGGTTGTAGAGAAGGACGAGACGGTGCCGTTTGGAGAATCTTTGAACTGGATTGGTCGGGTATAGAAGGCTTGACCGGTTTGAAGCACGGTTTTCTCGGTCAGCTTTAAGAGACCGCTGGGTGTGACGGTGGAGATCCCTTGGAGGTATATGCCGGTCAGTGGACGATGGAAGCCATCGTAAGTGAACTCGAGAATTTGGGAAGATGATTGGTTGAATTGATAGAGTATGTTCAAGAAGAAGACGATGGTGAGGAGCTTGACCAACATGTTTGTCTTCTACGTTCATAAAGTTTTTTTTAGGCTTTGGTTTACATATTTGAGTTTCTGAGAGCATTTTTTTCATCCATGACAACAACACTATTCTTATTTTATTTTAATTAATTAATATAATCAATTTGATTGTAAGATAATTAAAATTTTGAAATAATCAATCAGGTATCCTCATGTGACAAGTTGACCTAGGCCTGTGAAAGACTGAAAGTAGGAGTCATCTACAATCCGAGATCCGACCCACTCTGAAATTTCCCGGATAATAAAATTATAAATCCAGGTAAGTAAACTCAATTATAATCAGATGTAGTCTAAATTTTTACACGTCCAAACTAGTTGTAGCAGCTCATTTAGTTGCAAACTGTATATGTTTTTAAATGTTTTAATGTTCAATTCAAGAATGTTTTTCATCATCAATGTCCAAAATTTGTAAGTACAAAAACCAAAAAGAAAGTTTTTTTTTTGTTTTTCATTATCACCACTTTTATCATTCTCTAACCCAAATTTACAACATTCTGGAATTGCCTATGTTTTTCAGCATCCATATGCCATAGGCAAGATCATAGAGACACCAAGCAAATCAGTCATTGATGAGAAGAACAATTGGCACATAACACCTACATTTCCATCATAATTTCAGCTTGTTGTTACTCCACTTAGATATTAGTTTCTGCCAACACCCATATTTTTTTGGAAATTTTATTCTGGCAACACACCTCCTTCATCGCTATTGTCTTATCAAATTTTGGGAACATTCTCCTGGTTGCAGTTTTGGCTATAAATTGTATTACATTGTCATTTTCTGCATCTGAATTCGCTGGTCTTCTACGTTCATAAAGTTTTTCAAGAACATTACATAACTTTCTTTCAATATACATATGAATTGTAAGACACGCACAAACGTACAGAATCACCTTCCTACAGAGAGTATAGAGTCAACCATGGAAGATCCACCTTTAGACATAACTAGCTCACCAACTCCCTGGTGGATTCCCAGCATCATCCCGTTGCCACGTAAGTCCAACGGTGACAAATCTGGTAACATTGCGTCTCCGTTTAGGTAATTCAACACTTGTCTCATAGTTGGTCTAGCATGTGGGTCGGAATGAGAGCACAACAAACCTACCTTCAAAACCATTTCCACCTCACTTTGATCATACTCTGCCCCTAGATTCGGATCCTTGGCATCCAAAATGTTTCCTTCATTCCAAAACCCGAAAACCAAATCACTAGCAAGACCCTCTCGCCACTCTCGCTCTGAATCTCTATAGGACGTCTGCCGCACGCAACTTCAAGTACGAGCACCCCAAACGCAAAAACATCGGTTGCGGTTGTGGCCTTTCCTGTCCTGATGTGATCAGGGGCTAGGTATCCCCATGTTCCAGCGACATGCGTGGTTAGAGGGTCCGACCCGTGACCGCACAACCGAGCTAAACCGAAATCCCCGAGTCTCCCATTGAGCTCCGCATCTAACAAGACGTTGCTGGCTTTGACATCGCGGTGAATCACCACTTGTTCCCAGTCCTCGTGGAGGTAGAATAGAGCAGAGGCCACACCTTTGATGACTTTAAACCTCTGTTTCCAGTCGAGGGTTACCTCCGGACCATTATACAAGTACTTGTCTAAGCTTCCGTTGGGCATGTAGTCGTACACCAAAAGAAGCTCGTCTTTTCGGCGGCAATAACCCAAGAGAGGGACCAAGTTCCGATGACTCATCCGACCAATACTCACGATCTCAGACAAAACTCTTTCAAACCTTGTCGGGATTCGTTAGATACTTTTTTCACGGCGATCTTCTTCTTGGTCTTGGGCATGACACCTTTGTAAACGGACCCGAACCCGCCCGATCCGAGAAGGCCATTCTTCTTGAACCCTTTGGTGGCATAGTACAAGTCCTTGAACTTCATTCGGGTTCTCGCAAACTCTGTTTCCCAATCTTCGAGCTCCTCCGCGAACTTCCTTCTCCTCCTCACAATGAATCGCACCAGGAAGATGACCGAGAAAATAAACAAGAGGGGAATCATAAAGAGGGCAATTACTGGCATCCCGTTCTTGTAGAACCTCTGTATTTTGGTGGGCCCAAACCTCGGAAATTTCGGAAGTTTCGCTAATGCCAACGGTGGAGCTTTCCCATTCACCCCGAAGCTCCACCCGAGAACATAATGTTCCGACAGAACAGTACCAGTCGCAGACGAGAAACCTACGAACATATCTTGCAAGATAACCGAAGATAGATCTCTGACAGTAGAAACAAGCGGTTTTCTAGGTTTATCCTTTCTGAATGGAGCCATCGTTACATCGATTTGATGTGTACGCCCATCGTAATCGACCCAAACCTGCATCGGCTTACGACTGGTCAAAGTCAGATTCTTAAACTGACCTTTCTCATCCCAGTATCCAGCTGTCGAAATTTTTACTGACGTCAAGCTGTTGATATCGATTCCGACATGGTTATCGTCCGGATCATTGAAATCGGTACTCCGAATCGTGTCTAATTCGACAGCGAACACATGATTTGTGTAATTACCGTTGTTCACGATGTTGAAGAGGCCCATGTATTGGCTGGCAGTGGCGTTATGGATGCTTGCGTTAGGAGCGACGACAAAGGCTATGCCGTGGGTGCTAAGAGTCGGGACGAAAGAGTGGATAGCGAAGACAAAGGTTGTGGAGAATGACGAGACGGTAGCGTTTGGAGAATCTTTGAACCGGATAGGTTTGGTATAGAAAGCGTGAGCGGTTTTCTGCAAGGTTGTGTTGGTTAGCTTCAATAAACCGTTGGGTGTGACGGTGGCAATCCCTTGGAGAGATAAGTCAGTCAGTGGAGGACGGAAGCCATTGTAAGTGAAGTCAAGACTTTGGGAAGACGATTTTTGGCATTGAAAGAGTAGGCTAAAGAAGAAGCAGACCATGGTGAGGAGCTGCTTCACGAACATGGCTCTGTAATCTGTGATTTCTTCTAAACAAAAAATTGGCTTTGATTTAGATATCTGAGTTCATGAGAAAATAAGACGATTTATGGTGTGGAGAGAGTGTTGAAAAGTTGTAATTTTTTCCGTCAAGGGAAAAGTCGTCACCGTAAATTTAAAATCCGTGGTGGGAAATTGATAGAAGAGTTCCGTGCTTGACCTCCTTGTACCTCGTTTCGCTGTCACGGACTAGTAACAGAAGATCAAATCAACGAGATAAGTTAGTCTAAATTATTAAGCGTTAATATTTGTTTTTAGCAATCGAAGTAAAAAATGGGTACCAGAAGAGATTATCAATACACTCGGAAGACACAAATACATTTCAGACAAAGAACTAACATGATAACCTATTTCCACAAATGTAGCTTATTTATAGTCTACAAGCCTCTACAACCTATTATGTGATTTGACTCGAAATAGAATGGTGTTCCACCACTTTTATCATTCTCTAACCCAAATTTACAACTGGCATTTCCTATGTTTTGCAGCATTCACATGCTAGAGGCAAGATCATAGAGAAACCGAGCAAATCAGTCATTGATCAGAAAAACAAGTGGCACACAACACCTAAATTTCCATCATAATCTCAGCTTGTTGTTACTCCACTTAGATATTAGTTTCCCCCAACACCCATATCTTTTGGAAATTTTGTTCTGGCAACACACCTCCATTCTCCTGGTTACAGTTTTGGCTATAAATTGTAATTCATTGTCATATACATTATTTTCTGCATCTGAATTCGCTGTGATATTTGCTGCTCTTTATGCTCTTAAATAGAGTTTAGATGGCAAGTGTTTCTTCATTCTCTGTATTGCTTGTTGTTATTCCACTCAAATTAAATCTTAGTTTCCGAAAACTGGTCTTCTACGTTCATAAAGTTTTGCAAGTACATTACATATCTTTCTTTCAATATACAGATGAGTCGTAAGACACACACAAACGTACAGAATCACCTTCCACCAGAGAGTACAGAGTCAACCATGGAAGATCCACCGTTAGACATAACTGGCTCACCAACTCTATGGTGGATCCCCAACATCATCACCCCGTTGCCACGTAAGTCCAACGGTGACAAATCTGGAAACAATGCGTCTCCGTTTAGGTAATTCAAAACTTGTCTCATAGTTGGTCTAGCAAGTGGGTCTGAGTGAGAGCACAACAAACCTAGCTTCAAAACCATTTCCACCTCTCTTTGATCATACTCTGTCCCAAGATTCGGATCCTTAGCATCTAAGATGTTTCCCTCATTCCAAAACCCAAAAACCAAATCCACAAGCAAAACCCTCTCACTTCTCTCGTTCTGAATCTCTATAGGACGCCGACCACACGCCACTTCAAGTAGGAGCACCCCAAACGCAAAAACATCAGTAGCGGTCGTGGCCTTTCCTGTCCTGATGTGATCAGGGGCTAGGTATCCCCATGTTCCAGCGACGTGCGTGGTTAGAGGATCCGACCCGTGACCGCACAACCGGGCTAAACCGAAATCTCCGAGTCTCCCATTGTGCTCTGCGTCTAACAAGACGTTGCTGGCTTTGACATCGCGGTGAATCACCACTTGTTCCCAGTCCTCGTGAATGAAGAATAGAGCAGAGGCTATTCCTTTGATGACTTTAAACCTCTGTCTCCAGTTAAGAGTTACCTCCGGATTATTGTAGAGATACTTGTCTAAGCTTCCGTTGGGCATATAATCGTACACCAGATAAAGCTCGTCTTTTCGGCGGCAATAACCCAAGAGAGGGACCAAGTTCCGGTGACTCATCCGACCAATACTCACGATCTCAGACACAAACTCTTTCAAACCTTGTCGGGATTCGTTTGAGACTCTTTTCACGGCGATGTTCTTCTTCGTCTTGGGCATGACACCTTTGTAAACGCTCCCAAACCCACCCGATCCGAGAAGGCCCTTCTTCTTGAACCCTTTGGTGGCGTAGTACAAGTCCTTGAACTTCATTCGTGTTTTCGCAAACTGTGTTTCCCAATCTTCAAGCTCCTCCGCGAACTTCCTTCTCCTCCTCACAATGAATCGCACAAGGAAGATGATCAAGAGGATTATAAAGAATGATACCGACGAGATGATAGTTATTAACGCTACGGCCCCTACCGGAAGTCCGGAGTAGTTGAAGTCTATCGGAAGGTTCGGAAGTTTCGATAAGGCCAACGGCGGAGCTTTCCCCTTCATCCCGAAACTCCACCCGAGAACATAATGCTCCGACAGAGAAGAACCAGTCGCAGACGAGAAACCCACAAACATTTCTTGTTGAATAACGGAAGAAAGATCTCTGACAGCCGAAACAAGCGGCCTTGAGGGTTTACTCTCGTTGAACGGAGCCATCGTCACATCGATTTTATGGGTAAGACCATCGTAATCGACCCAAACCTGCATCGGCGCACCACTGATCAAACTCAGATTATTAAACTGATTTGTCTCGTTCCAGTACCCAGCGCTCGAACTGTTAATCGAAATCAAGCTGTTGATATCGATTCCGACATGGTTATCGTCCGGATCATCGAACTCGGCACTCTGAATCGTGTCGAATTCGACAGCGAACACATGATTTGTGTCATTACCGTTGCTTGTGACGTTGAAGAGCCCGAGGTATTGGCTGGGAGTGCCAGATTGGATGCCGAAGTAAGGAGCGACTACAAAGGCTAAGCCGTGGCCGCTGAGTGGTGGTGGTGGGATCTGAGTTCCGATAGCAAAGACAAAGGTTGTAGAGAAGGACGAGACGGTGCCGTTTGGAGAATCTTTGAACCGGATTGATCGGGCATAGAAAGCTTGACCGGTTTGCTGCACGGTTGTGTCGGTTAGCTCTAAGAGACCGATGGGTGTGACGGTGGCGATCCCTTGGAGGTATATGTCATTCAGTGGACGACGGAAGCCATTGTAAGTGAAGTTAAAACTTTGGGAAGACGATTTTAGGAATTGAGAGACTAAGACCACGGTGAGGAGCTGCTTGACGAACATGGCTCCGTAATCTCTCTACTTTCTTCTAAACCAAAAAAATTTGGATTTTGTTTAGATATTTGAGTTCATGAGAATGGAAAAGTCGTCTTCTCTTGTTTTTGGTCAAGAGAAAAGTCGTCACCTTCTCAATTTTTAAATCGATGGTGGGAAAATTAGTAAAGACTTTCGTGCTTGATGATGATATAATATAAAAAGTTATTCAATTATCACGTTCATAAATACAGGAGTAAACTAATCATCTACGCTGATAAAGTTATTCAATTATCACGTTCAACATACAACAACGAAATGGATAATGTAAATTTATTTCAATCTACATAGGAAACGTAACACACAAACATTCTGATATTCAAGATCACCTTCGCCGGAGAGTATAGAGGCAACCATCGAAGATCCACCGGTATACGTCATGCTTAACTCACTAAGTCCGTGGTGGATCCCGTTGCCACGAAAGTCAAACGGTGACAAATCTGGTAACATTGCATCTCCGTTTAGATAATTAACACTTGTTTCATAGTTGGTCTAGCATATGGGTCGGAGTGAGAGCACAACAAACCTAGCTTCAATACCATCTCCACCTCACTTTCTTCATACTCTGTCCCTATATTCGGATCTTTAGCATCCAAAATGTTTCCTCCATTCCAAAACCCCAAAACCAAATCCACGAGCAAGACCCTCTCATCAATCTCGCTCAGAATCTCGATAGGACGTCTACCGCACGCTACTTCAAGTAGGAGCACCCCAAACGCAAAAACATCGGTAGTGGTCGTGGCCTTCCTGTCCTGATGTGATCAGGGGCTAAGTATCCCCATGTTCCAGCGACGCGAGTGGTTAGAGGATCCGAGCCGTGACCGCACAACCGAGCTAAACCGAAGTCTCCGAGTCTCCCATTGAGCTCCGCGTCTAACAAGACGTTGCTGGCTTTGATGTCGCGGTGAATCACCACTTGTTCCCATTCCTCGTGGAGGAAGAACAAGCCAGAGGCCACGCCTTTGATGACTTTAAACCTCTGTTTCCAGTCGAGTGTTACCTCTGGATTATTGTAAAGATACTTATCTAAGCTTCCATTGGGCATGTAGTCGTACACGAGAAGAAGCTCGTTTTTCCGGCGGCAATAACCCAAGAGAGGGACAAGTTCCGGTGACTCATCCGACCAATACTCACGATCTCAGACACAAACTCTTTCAACCCTTGTCGGGATTCGTTGGAGACTCTTTTAACGGCGATCTTCTTCTTCGTCTTGGCATGACACCTTTGTAAACGCTCCCAAACCCGCCGGATCCCGAGAAGGCCCTTCTCCTTGAACCCTTTGGTGGCGTAGTACAAGTCCTTGAACTTCAACCGAATCTTGGCGAACTCTGTTTCCCAATCTTCGATCTCCTCGGCGAACTTCCTCCTCCTCCTCACAATGAATCGCACCAGGAATACGAGAAGAAGATTAACAAGACCGGAATCAACACGAGGGAAACTACCTCATCCCGTTCTTGTAGAACCTCTGTATTTTGGTGGGCCCAAACCTCGGAATTTTCGGAAGTTTCGATAAGGCCAACGGCGGAGCTTTTCCCTTCACCGCGAAACTCCACCCAAGAACAAAATGATCCGACGATATAATAAGGCCGGTGGAAGACGAGAAACCAACGAACATGTCTTGCAACAGAACCGAAGATAGATCCTTGACAGTAGAAACAAGCGGTTTTCTAGGTTTATCCTCGTTGAACGGAGCCATCGTCACATCGATTTTGTGCGAAAGACCATCGTAATCGATCCAAACCTGCATCGCTTACGACTGATCAAAGTCAGATTCTTAAACTGCCCAGTCTTGTCCCAGTATCCAGCTCTCGAACTGTTTATCGATATCAAGCTGTTGATATCGATTCCGACATGGTTCTCGTCCATATCATTAACCTCAAATTCGAATCGTGTCTAATTCGACAGCGAACACATGATTTGTGTCATTACCGTTGTTCGTGGCGTTGAAGAGACCCATGTATTGGCTGGCATCGGCGTACGGGAGGCCGGCTTAGGAGCGACGACAAAGGTCATGCCCAAGCCGCTAAGTATCTGGAGCCGAGGGTTGATGGCGAAGACAAAGGTCGTAGAGAAGGACGAGACGTTGCCGTTTGGAGAATCTTTGAACCGGATTGGTTTGGTATAGAAAGCGTGACCGGTTTTCCGAGTGGTTGCGTTGGTTAGCTGCAATAAACCGTTGGGTGTGACGGCGGCGATCCCTTGGAGAGATATGTCAGTCGTGGAGGACGGAAGCCATTGTAAATGAAGTAAAGACTTTGGGAAGACGATTTTTGGAATTGAGAGATTAGGCTAAAGAAAATGAAGACCATAATGAGGAGCTGCTTGACCAACATTGCTCTCTAGTCTCTCTACTTTCTTCTAGAAAAAAATCGGGTTTGGTTTAGATATCTAGAGTTCATGAGAAACTAAGACGGTTTTATGGTGTGGGAGAGTGTAGAAAAGTCTCAGCTTTCTTCCGTCGGTGTGGAGAGAGTAGAAAAGTCTCAGCTTTCTTCCTTCGAGTCGAGGGAAGACGTCGTGACCATAAATTCTGAATCCATGGTGACCTCTCGTACCTCGTTTTGCTGTCACTGATGGTAGTAGCTGGAGACAAATCAACGACATAAATTACTCTAAATTATGAAACGTTATTTTTTTAGCAATGCAAGTTAGAGTGGAGAAAAGCTCTTGTTAAAAAATTCAGGTGTTAGTCAGATACAAATAAACCGAAAAAGTTTCTCCAACAAGACCTATTGTCTTGGTATCGGTTAGCATCTTGTTAGAATAACTGCAAATCATCCATCATCAGCGCAGATTAGATGAGCTACTCGCACATTTGGATAGACTTTGACCGGAGGATAGTAATGTGTTTGTTGTGTTTAATCTCATGGAATCAATAGTCTTCTGCGGCAGCACCTGAACTGAGGTCTACTCTTTGAGAACTATCTCTCAAACTCTGATTCACCTCTTGTTCCTTATGATCATTGTGAAAATGGAGATGATTTCAGCGATGAATTTAAAGGGTTTCTAATGGGAAGTTTGAAACTTTATGTGCATCCTCAAATGAATCTTTGTTTTTATAATTGCTAGTTTTTTGTTCTTATCAAATTTCTGATGCAACACAGAGAGAGCGTTGTTCACGGATGAATGCTGAACATCTTCAGCACACCACGGAAGCTAATCAGTTCTCTTCAAGATCCTGATAATCTGGAGTTACTAGATCATCCAGTCATTCAAAGTCCTATGCGATCTCGCCAGAACACCAAATTTAGAAAGCAATGAAAAGATACTCTTGAATAAATATACACTTTTTTTTTTGATAAAAGGTATTCATTAATTCAAGTAACCAATATTAAAGATAAAAAAAGATTAGAAGAAAAGGTATTCATTTGAAGTTTTAGTCTTGGTTTTGGGAGGTTTGTAGCTCTAGTCTTGTTGTTTGTTTTCCCTTCTTGGGCTTTGCTTCCGGGGTTCATCCTTTTTCCCTCGGCTTTGTTTCCGGGGCTTTAATTGTCTGCCGACGGCTTATGTGTTTCACTGTTTGTAGATCGGCTGGTGTGTAACACCATGTAACTTTTTTATTCTAATAAAATTCTAGAGGATAAAAAAAGAGAAGAGAAGGGATTAAATTTTAAAAGTTTTTAGAACAAACTAAAAAATGAAGGAAGACTACAATGACAATGGGAAAACCCGAGCTTAGTTTATGGATCGACCACCACGGCCTCAAGAATCTTGAGGCCATTGCATTTCTTGCTTCTGAGAAGGTTTTAGATGCCTACCTCCACACGACATTTGAGTAGACACATTCCAATCATCACCTATAAAAACTCCAACTTTATCAGATAGATTACCAAAAATACTTGTAGTGACAGACTTAAAAGGAGAATGAGATGAGATATCAGAAGGAGGAGGTTTGTCGTTCATGGGGGAGGAGAAGGGTGGAGTCACAACTGTTCCTTGATTTAAGGTAGGGGGAATTGCCAAATATAGTGCACAATTTGATTTGAAATGCAAAACTAGACCTATATTGCATTTAGAGCAAAACTAGTCTTCTGGGTATGTAAAATTACAAACTACACCCTTATGAACAAAGAAAAAATGCTAGCCACAATGTCTGTTTTACCCCGTTTAAAGTCTATTCATGAAGTCTACTGTGTATTACTTCATCATGAAGTCTAATTCCTAATCACAACTCAAATTTAATTTATAAAATTATAGAAAATTTATTTGATCAAACAAAATTATACATAAATAAGATTAGAACATTTGGCATCCAAGAAAAATAAAATTGCATAAAAATGAATCTATGTAACTCAAGTAAGAGAAATTATGTTTGTAACCTATAAAATGCGTGAAGTCTACTCCATAAGTCTACTATATAGCAAAATCGTAAATTTAAAGTTTAAAATATGTTAAAAATATTTTGATCAAGGTATTTACACATAATTTTAACAAAGACAAGTACTATCCATGAAAAATAAATTTGCATATAAATTGATCAATTTAAATCCGGTAATACAAATTATGATATAATCCAAAAAAAATTGTGTGAAGTCTACTCAAGAAGTCTACTAAATAACAAAATCTAAAATTTATAAAAAAACAATTTTGAAAAAAAACTATAGAAAAATTTAAATAAAGACAAGTTTTATCAATGTAAAATAAAATTTCATGAAAATTAATCAATTTATAAGTTTCATGAGTAAAGCAATCATCAAGCTTAGTCTTTGAGGTATAATGTATAGGGTTTATGATTGTTATGGTTAGGGTTTAGAGATTTTTGACATAAAAAAATATTTGCGGTTCTTTTAACGATTTAAAGTCAATGAATTCATAGTTTATAATGTAAATCATGATTATGTATATATTATTGATGTTTTGTATAGATTTGATCTTAAATATTTGATTTAGGGTTTAGGGTTAGTTAGATTTCATCGATAGACTTCATTAGTAGACTTTGCCATAAAGTCTTTCATTAGTAGACTTTGCGATAAAGTCTAAAATTCAAAACACACTGGTGGGAAACGAAATATTTTGGAAAAATTAGCGGGAACCAAAATATATTGAAATAAATTTTTGATACAATATAGTCGGTTTAGGAGACTTCCAGATTAGACTTCTCTTGTAAACTTCATGATAAATTCTATTTAACCGAATTTAATCGAATTAACCGAATTTAACCGATTTTTTTTTCACTTAACCGGAAAATTAGTCCTCGTATATAAGGAACTAACCCTAATTTTGTGGGGAAAAATCTGGTAACTCGTGCACGGCGTCTCTCTCCATCTCTCTCTCTCTCTCAGCTCTCCGTGAACCCCCGCCGATTCTTCTCTCCGTGAACCTTCGCCGCTTTTTATCGCCTGAGCGATGGCGGCTCTCTCTCTGCTCCAATGGATCTACGCCGCTTCTTCTCGCCTGAGCAAAGCCACTCGCCGTTAACCTTTGCCGCCTCTCTGTCGCCAATAACCACCACCTCCTCTTCTTTCTCCGCCTCTATCTCTCCCTCGCATCTCTCCTCTCACCGTTGGATCTCTCTTTGATAGGTGAATCTCTCTCGCTTCATCTTTTCACCGCCATTATCTCGCTTCTCTCTCTCACTTTGATTCATGTTTTCAATTTTCTTGCTGAGAATGTGTTCTTATCTCTATTTAATGCCTATACCTTCGAGAGGTTCTCAGGGTTTCCTAGCTATTTGTGTTTCCTGGTTGAATTGCTCTTGATGTTGGAATCTGAAAGTTGTTTTTTGTTCTTCTTGTATATATGTTGCAGCGCTCTGAAGCAGAAACTGAAGATGAACCAGAGTGGAAACTCAGAGAAGAATAAAAAGCCAAACTAGTAAGCCATTGTTCTCCACTTTCATCTGATTTTAGATTTCCAGTTTGATAGTTAAGAGATTACATTTTCTTTGATTTGGGTACTAAACTAATTGATTTATTTTTTTTGTCCTTTTCATCAATTTTGTATACTTACTAACGTAAGACCTCGTCTATTGTTGGCATGTTGTATAGGATGATATTGAATTGAACAGCTTCTCCTTTCAAATAATGTGGGTTATGAAACCATGACAACTAGAGATGAGGGTATGGATTGGAAACTGAGAATATTTCTTTTACCTGTGATCCCTTCTCTTGCCTATTTCTCACTCATTAGCTTCACCAAGATGTGTGAGTCTTCCTCTTTAAATGCTCATTTTCATGTTAAATGTTTCTTAGGCTTGGTGTCTTAAGCGAGCCTTATGATTTACTTGTTCTCTCCTCTGTTTTTTTCCAGGAAGGTCTTCACTTTCTTGGAAGATCTACAAGTAAGTAGTTTTTCTTCTTCTTCTTTGTCTATCGTTTTAAGGATTGAAAATTATCCTCGTTGAACTTTGTCTTTTGATCTGGAACTGCAAAATTGTTATTTTGTTTTAATCTGATGATGTGGTTTTAGGGACAATACATGTATGATAGTCAGATTTGGCTTGTTCATAAACATTTGATTGTGTTTTTACACTGAAGGAGGCTTGAGGATGTCTTGGATTCAGTTGTGGATCGTATGTCAAAGACCCCACTTGTTTCTCACTGATAAGCTGCAGATTTGTCTAGGTACAGCTTTCCTGTTTACTTGTCGAACTTCCAAATCAAATTCATTGATTATCTGCTGCTTTTTTCTTTGTCTTAGTCTATACTATTATGTTAGCTTGATGTTCATTGTACATATACATAACTATTGTGTTGTAGTTCTCCGATTCTGTGGTAAAACCATCATTTTTTCTTTCTTCGATCATTTTAACTGAGCATGTAGATTGCATGTTGATGTTGATTCGATTTCTCTTAATCCTGAATAGAATCCTATGCTAGAGTTTTTGATTTGGTTTTAGCTGAATGATTTGAGTTTTTGATATGTGAACTGAGAAGTGATTGGGATCTTACAATCTATTTTGAAGTCTATTGACTACTTGTTACTATTTTTCGTTGTTTATTCGTTGGATTGATTTTTTTTTTTTTTCTAAAGTAGCAGCTAATGTCAATGCTCTTCAGATCATCAAGACACATAAAGATCAATGTAGGAGATACATTGGATCCCTCGATCACTCGATGGTGGCAAGTGAGATGGCAATTGATATTCAGATGAGAAGAATGTGCGACTTTGTAGAAATAGATGTAAAATGTAGTAAAACCAACTTGGAATTATTGATATACATTGTTTAAGTTTCAAGTAATAAACTTTTAAGACATAGAGAACATACTTCATAAGCAGACGTCAGTAAATAATATATTGACACCAAACTTTTTCTATATAACAACTTATATGTTGTAGCTTAAAAGTATAAAACATAAAAAATTATGTAATGAATGTGTAGTAGATGACCATATTTAAAGATAACCAATGAGTATTGTATAACTTATGTAGATTTCATTAGTTAGGCTTTAAAATGAAACCATATACAAGCATTTTTTATGCAGTGTACCTAGTTAAAATAGACCATGTTCAAACAAATAGTTAAACTTTATGAGTAGACTTCACAAATAAACTTCACAAATTGTCCTTTCTCACCCATTCTCCATAAACAGATGCAATGTAACCATTTTCTGCAAGTAAACAAAAACCAACCATTAGACTTCATTATTAGATTTCAGTGGTAG